TGCTGCTGCTGCCAGCGTCCATCTCGCCCCACGGAGCTTTCTGCTGTAAGGAAAGCGGCTCGCCGGCGACGTCCTGGGCCCCGGGTTGGGTCAGTATTCACAATATGTATCTGGAGCACCCCGGCGTCCGCCATCGGCACCCCCTGTGTGTTGGTTAAATGTCTGCACGCCCTCCGCCCCACCAGAGCGGGGTCCTTTCCTCCTCCCCACCCCCCTCCTGCGCGTCGTGTCATTGTTTACTGCACGTCCCGGGGAAAGTAAGTTCCATGAAAACGTCTTGGTCTGTCTGATAGCGCGTCACTTCATCCCCCATTCCTGGGTTATGTGGGTCAGTTGTATTACTGGAAAATGAATGGAGTCACTGAAATTTAAAGGGGTTAACGGGAACGGGGACATGCTGACAGGTAAAGCGCTGCGCAGAAGCAGTGCGTGAGCTGGGAAGCAATGGGCGGGACAGAGGCCCGAGGCTCTGGGCTGTATTTAGTATTCGTCCAGTGGCTGGCACTGAGCCCTGAAACTTGGAGTCTTCCTAAGTGTCTCACTGGTTAATGAGGTGCTTTTGGGCTGCAGCTGTGCTCGCCACGGTCCCACCAGTGCTCCATGTTAGGCGAGTTTGGAAACTCCAAAGTAACCTAAGGATGGGGCAGGCTGCCAGGAGAACCAGGAGGTGGTGAGAGGGTTGGAACTTTCAAACTGATTTCCAGGGAGGGGAGGGGAGGAGACTAGAGGTTGAACAGTCACCAGGGGCCAATGATGTCATCATTCGTGCCTGCTGTGAAGAATTCATACAAGTGCAGAAGGGGTCAGGGAACTCAGGGGTTCAGGGACCCTGGCCCCCTTGGAAGCCTGGCAGTTCTTTAGATCCTTTTACAATAAGCTGCTTGCCTCCTGAGCAAGCGCTTCCCAGAGTTCTCGTGCTGCTTTTACCAAATCAAAGAAGGTCATGGAGACCCCCTCATCCGTCCCCCCTTGGCACAGGGACATCCTGGACTTGGGAGTGACCTTTGACCTGTGGGATTGATGCTCTCTCCAGGAGGGTGGTGTCAGAATAGAGTTGTTTGCTTGATGCTGTTGGAAAAAAAGAGGCGCAGTCCTCACCATCACAGACACTGTCAGACCTTGTCGGACGCCAGGACCTCGGGGCTCAAGCCCTGAAGATAAATCCGCCATCACGCAGGCACTCCCGGCTTGCAGCTGATGTCCCCAGCGGTTAGTGACTTGGCTGAGGTGGCACAGCTGACCTTGGTAGACTTGAGGTTCAGACCTGGTTGTCGGGCTTCAGGGTCCCCCAGTGAATCTGCTGTTGTGTCCTGAATTTGCTAAGGCGCCGCTCACAGAGTCTGGACTTGGCCCTGGGAACCAGCAGGAGATTTGGAAAGTCCCAAGGAGAGGCCGGAGGGCCTGAGAGCCCAAACAGCTGGGGGGTTGTGAGGGGCGGGGCTGGCCCAGAGGAGACAGGGTCTTGGTGTATCTTGGCATGGAGGGTTGGGGGGGGGGGCTGCTCACCAAGGGAGGAAACTCCCCTTCAGGCAGAGCGCATGGCATGTGCAAAGCCCAGCTTTTCAAGACCTGCCAGTGGTCCCTTTCAGCTGGATGTGGGGTGCAAGTGGGCGGTGCTCTGTGGTAAATGGAGGAGGAGCCAGGTCCCAAAGGACTCCTGACTCCCTCTGCAGCCCCTGCAGTGACGGAGGAGCTTGTCCTGTCACTGACTGGGACTGACAAGCCCCTGTGAACCTCAGATTTCTCACAATGTCTGAGACAGGAGGTGGGAGAGCTTCAGGGTGGGAACTCTGGTGTTCCAGCTGAGTGCCCCAACTTTGACCTCCCAACCACTCAAGCGCTCCAGTGCCTAAGGTAGGATCGGGTGGAGGGTTTCAGCTGGGACAGAGTTCCACTCTCACTGGTGAGTCTGAAAGGGTAAAAGCCATTTTGCTTTGTCTTGTTCCAGGAACTTTCATGTCCATCCAAACCCCTTAGTTTCCTCAACTCTTTACTCTCAGGAGATGTAGCATCCCTGGGAGCTCTACTGCTGCAAGTCAGAGGACACGAGCCCTCTAACTCAGGCCCTGAGTTTCACAGTAATTGTTCCTTTCACCCCCTGCCAGCAAAGACCCCCAGAAGTGCAACGCCCAGAAAGCCTGTCTTGTCTGTCAGCGCAAGAAAAATCAAGGACAATGCAGCTGACTGGCATAATCTGATCCTGAAATGGGAAACCCTCAATGACGCAGGTTTCGCTACAGCGAGCAGCATCGCCAACCTAAGAATCAACCTGTCGTAAGTATGGCGATGCTCCTCGTGCCCTGCGCCTTTCGGGGCTGGACAGCAGTGGCCGTGGCGTGGCCGTGTGGCACATGTGGGAGACAGGCTTGCTTTGTCCCTGCCGGCGCCTGCTTACACAGTCGCGGCAGTGACCGAGGCCACGGGCCTGGGGGGTGGGGCGGTAGGGCTCCTCGTGTCCGACGCCGCGTGGGCTCTGCCTGTGTCCCTGGCTGGCCAGCCCCAGCCCTGTCGCCTTGGGCGGGGAAGCGTGCGCGGGCGCTCCGCTGTCAGAGTCGGCCTTGTGCCCCGCCCTCAGCGCTCAGCCCTGGCCGAAGGGCTGGCGGGAAAGCTGAGGGGCGCCCAGTCCGCGGCGACGCCTGGCGGCCTCCGTGCGGGTACGCGTGTGCTTCGGCAGGCGTCCTCCCCTGACCGCCGCGGGGCCGAGGCCTGGGGCCTGGGAGCCGCTCAGCAGTGATGTCACGTGCCGCACGGGAGCCTCCCTGTGCACTGGCACCGTGTCCCCCCGTCCCGGTAAGAGTGGCCCCGTCGTCTCCCTGGGCCCCACTGCCCTGCCCGCCACATCGTCGTCATGGTTGCTTGATCCTGCCGCCAGGCGGCGGGAGGCTGCCCGCTGGCTGCAGAGCCTCGCTGGCGAGCCTGCCGCGACGCGGCCTCCGCGTGTGCCCAGTAGGCCGCCATCTAATTCTCATAGTGGGGGGCTTTCGGGACACCCGGGGAGCCAGCCAAGCACTCACAGAGTCAGAACTCGGAGCCTCTCAGGAGGGGAGGTCTGCTCCCCAGCTGTGCCTGCCTGGTGAAGCCTCCGCGGAGCCCGGGGGACTGCCAGGGTTGAGCACGACCTCACCGTGAGCCAGATGGGCCGCGCCCAAGCCAGGAGATGGCAGCCCTTGAGCTCGGGGCCCTCCAGACCTCGTCCTGTGCCGCTTCACCTGCTACGTTCCTTCCATGCAGGCCCAGCGCCATTGCCGAGTTTTCTGCAAGGCCGTTACTCTAACAAGACGAGCTGAACTTACTCCCCCCTTTCTGTTCTGCCCAGGAGTAAAGACGAGATAGAACTGGAGGGCAGCAGCCCAGCTTGCGGTGACAATGCAGAAAAGATGCTTCCGGAATACAGCCCCGAGCTGGAGACGCTGTGTGAGGAGCTGCGGGCCACCCTGGATGGCCTGGTGAGGCAGAGGCGCCCTCCCCACCCTCACCCCCCCCGCTCGGGGGTCCCCCTCAGCCTCCCTCCCTGCTGCAGGCCACAGTGGCCCCTGTTGTGTGCCCCCCAACCACCAGGGCAGGGTGGGTGCGTGGCCAGGCCGTGCGGATCACAGACACTGAACTTCGTGTCTCTTTGACATGTCACAGACGTTGGTTTTTTTAAACCTCATTGACAAAGTAAAGCCGTTAAAAACCAGCTGCGGGCAGGGTTCGGCCCACGGGTCCTCCCCTTGCATCTGAGAAACATGAAAGGTTTGTTTCTGAGGCCACACCAGAACGCCGTGGCCCACAGTGTGGACCCGACACTGACCGCCTGCCAGGCCAGGCTGGGCACACTTGCGCTGGGGAGCGGAACGCAGCCCGTGGCAGGTGGGCTCTTGGTATTTTAGCCTTCTTTGAAGGAACGTCTCTGTGAAGTCTTTGGTGTGGAGCACTGTGCCCAGGGACGTCTGGAGCGTCCCAGGCGCAGCAGCGTGAGGCGAGCCAGAGTGCGCCTCTCCCTCGGCCGCCCGCGGGAGGCAGGCGGCTCGGCCGTGCGTCTTGCTGGGGCCTGGCTTCGCCTTCGCTCGGTGCGGGCGGCACCTTGCGTGAGCTCTGGCAAGTGAGGCTGTCAGTCGAGGCCAGCGATGCAGTTAACGGTCACGTACGTGAATTATTGCGGTCGTCGTCTCCTGAAAACCGGCCACTTTGTTTCTCTGACTTTCCAACGTTGACCCAAAGTCCAGTACTGAAATCGCTGCACTGCGCAGCTCCAGCCCGGACTGCCTCCAGAGTGCCGTCGCCGCCCGGTGCCTCGGGCGTGCCAGGTGCCCAGCACCTCTGTCCTGGCCTGCAGTTTTCCTGCCCAGCAGAAAACATCATAGAATCCCAAAACTGCTAGAAGGAGGAACCTTTTTTTTAATAAGTGTAAATTTACTTTTCTTGCCATGGGGACTTTTTTTTTAAAGACTGACTTACTTACGCACACAGAACTGGGGTACAGGCCAGAGGTGCAGGGGCGGTGAGAGGCCTCACCAGAGACAATGGAAAGCAGAACAGACCAACTGACGAAGGACACTGCTGAGGGGAGCAGCGGGCAGTCAGGAGAGGTCTGCCGCGCCATGTGGGCCACTCCCTGGTGGGGGATTGAACCCGTGCTGCGGGGGCTTCGGAGAGTTTCACAGTGGGGACTTTTAAGGGCCACTCCGAATGTGTGTGACAGTATCACGAGGAATACTTTGCCACGTTGAAGGGACTTTTACAAATGCAAGGGCGGCCACGCTCTCAGGCGCTGTTGGCCTGTCAGCTCACAAGATGCTCGAGCTCTCCAGCACCCACAGAAGGGTGTGGGGCCCGGGGAAGGGGTCGCGCCCTCCAGGTGGGAGCGCACAGCTGACAGCTTCCATCACGGGGGCCGTGGGCTCCTGCCTGAGCCCCCGACCCCCCCACGGATGGGCAGCCTGGGAGGAAGAGTTGCGTCCAGAAAGCCAGCAAGCCTGGAGGACAGGCCAGCAGCAGTGTGATGTGGGCAGCTGCACCGGGGCTCTGGAAACCTCCAAACGGGACCAAGTGAGGGCGGCCTGGCCTGGCTGGCAGCAGGTGACCCCGGGCTCTAAGTGACTAAGGTCAGCTTGAGCCTGGCTGAGCCGGTGAGTGCCCAGGAAATGAGGCGCCCTCCCCCAGAGCTCCGGGGGAGCCCCTGCCCCGCCAGGAGGCCCTGCATATTCATGAGGCCATGGCATAATTTTTAGGACAGCTTTAAGTTTCCAGAGGTGCAGATGGCGTATCCTGCAAGGCACCCCCACGCCCACTATTCACAGCAGCCCTCTCCGATAGCGGGGTGCGCGTCACAGCGACATGGGGTCACCAGTGCAGCTACAGCAGCTCAGTGGCCATCTCCCCAGGGCCCTGGCCCTGCCCAGGCACCTGTGCTGGACACCACCTGACCTCAGTGCTTGCATCGCCTCTGGCTCCACAGCTGGGATGTCCTCAGAGGGCCTCTCAGTGCGGGTCTGTGCCTCCCCAGAACAGGCTGAGCCGAGGGGTTGTGGCGGGGGAGGTGCCCTCCCCTCTGGGGTCCGGCCTGCCCTGGGCGTCGCTGCTCAAGGGACATCAGGCCTTTCTACATTGCCCTTCGGAGGAGTCACTGCACCCCGGAGTGAGGGCCGGCCCCCATGGGAGTGTGCAGACACCCTGGAGCCTGTCCCCGTCAGGAGTCGCGTGGCCGCTTCCCACGCGGGCGCTGCGTGTGTCCTCCCGGGGAACCGCGAGCTGCTTTCTTCTGTCTTCGACCCCTTTGGCTGCTGGTTCTGTTGGCTCTTGTTTCCCTCGTCAGTTTTTGGTTTTTGTTTTTCTTCTCCCTTCCTGGCATGGCAGGACCCTCCAGGCTCCCCGTCCACCTCAGCCCCAGACTCAGTCTTTGCTCCCGGGCCCTTCTCCACTGAGAACAGGGTGCTAAAAACCAAGATCTGGGTACTTGTTGTCGGACACCGCATTTCTCCGCTGCCATGAATTTGCCTGTGGTTTGGAAATGAGTCTGCATTCTGTGCGCAAACCAGATGTTGCCGCCAGGAGGCCATTCCTGTTTTGCTTGCTTTCCTCCGGTCTTCAAGGATTTTTTCAGTCCTCTGCACGAGGTGTGCGTGGCCGCTGCCGTCAGGCAGGTCTCTGGCACCACGTCCCAGGAAGGCCACTCGGCCAGCGGCGCTGGCGGCTTGGGCGGAGGCCGTGTCCAGGCCCGAGCCCGCTGGCGAGAGCCGGCACCCAGGCTGGGCTGCCATGGGCAGGTCCGGGGCTGCTTGTCCTAGTGACCAGGCAGAAAGCGCCTCCGGTCTTCAGAGATGTTCAGCTTCGGCCCAGTGCGTCCCGAGTGACCTGCACCTGGAGACGGGCAGGGGCTGGGGTACCGTCTCCCTGAGCTGGTCGAACCCAGGGCGCCGCCAGGCAGGGCTGTGAGCAGGCTGGGCTCTGCGTGCGAGGGGGCTGGGGCCCAGTGCGAGGTCTCGGCGGCCCTGGCCTGTCCCTCCTGGCTCAGCGTCTTAATGTTGCCGGCTGGGGCCAGACACCATGGGCCCAGCGCCTGGGGCTGGCCGAGCGAGAGCTGTGACTAGGCGCTCTGAGGAGGCAGTGCCCGTCGCCTCAGCCGTGAAGGTGGGGCCGGAGGACAAGGGCGGGAGGAGATGAAGACTCGTGGCGATGGTCTCCTCGCCCCTCAGACCTCTGCTACTCCTGCCTGAAGTCGGCCGCCTGACCTGTTTCCTTGACAAGCCCGGCCTGGCCTGGCCTGCTCCGCCGGGGCTCCCGGGGGCTGTGGCCCGAGCTGACCTGCCCGAGCCGGCGGCCCTGCGGGGACGGGAGGGCCCGGGGAGGGCTGGGCGCGCGCCTGGTTTCCTGCCTGCCAGGCGCCTTTCGTTGTTGCCGTCTACAGGGGAGAAACCCAGGCCGGATGTGGAGGCGCCTGAGCTTGGTGAGCCCAGGCGCCTCTGAGCCTGGGGCCGGGCTGCCCGCGGACGCACTGGGGAGCCTGGCGGCTGTGTGCAGGGCTCAGGGCGCTGAGAGGACTTGGTGTCGACAGTCGGCCTCTTCGCTTTGGAATCCTTAGTGTTCCTGAGTCTGAGACCTCGGTGATCTCAGAATCCTCACAGCCCAAATTAATGTCTTTCAGACCAAAATACAGATGAAAATGGAAAAGCTGTCTTCTACCACCAAGGGCATCTGCGAGCTGGAGAATTACCACTGCGGGGAGGAGAGCAGGCGGCCCCCCCTCTTCCACACGTGGCCCACGGCCCACTTTTGTAAGTGGGGAGCGCTGGTGTTGTCTGGAGCTGGGGCTCCGGAGCACACAGCTCTGGAATCCAAGAGCACCCCGGGGGCGGGAGACGCACGTGCCCTTTCCTCGTTCAGCCGAGTGTTGAAGGCAGGGCCAGGAGAGCGGCTGCCCTCTAAAACCGGCCGGGGCGGGCCGCCTCCATTTCTGCCGGAGGAGGGGTTTTGTTTGAACTAAGTGTGAATAGCGTAAACCAGGCTAGCGGGACACCGTTACCTCGCCGGGCTCTGAGACGGGCTGCTGCAGCCTGAGGGGGGAAAGAAAGGGCAGGCCCCTCGCGGCCCACCGGCGGTCGGGCCACCGCGCTCCCCCTCAGCGTGCGCCCGGGCGAGGTGCCCGGGCTGGCAGCGTCCCCGGGCAGGCGCCCCCTGCGCCCCTGTTAAGGGCGCGCGTGTGTTGCAGACGAGGTCTCGCGCAGGCTCTCGGACATGTACGGCCGGGAGCTCCGCCTGAAGCGCGCCATCACGGACGAGCTCGCCCACACCGAGGCCCGCGGCCTGGCCCTCTGCTACCTGTCCATGTGGCTGCACCAGCCCTACGTGCAGAGCGACAGCAAGCTGCAGCTGGAGAGCCTGCTGCTCGAGACCGGCCACCGGCCGCTGTGACCGGGCGTGGGCCTCCTCCCAGCTGGAGACCTGTGATACGAGTTGTGTGTATTTGAACGTGGGACGCGTACAGACGGTGACCGGGTCAGGGTTTTTACGTTACAACTAGCTACGTTATTTTAAGTTGTAAAAGGCTTTTACTTCTGTAATGGCAGATGGCTTAAAATGCCATCATCTGGGCCCTCCCCGGTGGCGCAGCGGGTCAGGGCGCAGCACTGCAAGCCAGCTGCAGCTGCTTTAGTGTGGGTTTGATCCCCGCCCTGGAGGGGACCCACAGGCCGCGGCAGACCTCTCCTGACCCGCCCACTGCTCCCCTCAGCGGTGGACTTGTCAGGTGCCTGTTCTGCCCCCCACTCTGTCTCTGGTGAAGCCTCTAACCGCCCTTGCACATCTGGCCTGTACCCCAATTCTGTATGCATAAATAAATAGATCTTTTTTTAAAAATGCTATAACTTAACTGTGTAAAAATGACCATCATAGTGGTGAAGCGACCCCGACCCAAGAAGAGGCCTGTGCCGGCCCGCCAAGGGTGTTTGCAAGTGAGGCAGCCACCAGGTCTGCCTGCCACAGCCCAAAGCCCACACAGGCAGCCTCCACTGCTTCCCGGGAGCAGACTCAAGGCACATCACCCCATGGGGTGTGGGGTGCAGCCGCCAGACACAAAGTGTCTGCTGGAAAGAGAAAGGACCCCAGAATACTGTGCCAGGAGTGTGTTGAGACCTTTAGGTCGTCATCAGCAGCTACTTGGAAAGCACAATGTTAGGGGAACACGTGGAGAAGACAGCTGCACTACACACTCATTGATAAAATCAGGAATTCAGACAGGAAGCATCAGCAAACTCAAAGACCCGAAACCCTTGTAAAATGAAGCAGTGGCTCCCCCTGCCCCTCCCCCCCCAGTGGGCAGCCAGAGCCCTCCTGGCCGCTCAGGCACGAGATGGTGCATCCTTACAAGGCACCTGTCCATCCAGGCTGCACCGGGGCCTCGGTGCCCGCCCTGGGGACGCGGAGGAGGCCCAGGGAGGCCCCGGCGGGTTCACCGTCCGCCTTACCAGGAACAGTGTTGGCCGAAAGGAGGACGCGGGGGCCGCTGTGCCTGGCTGTCTCCCGAGGGTCACCGGAGTCCGGCCCTCGCTGTCGAGGTGGCTAGCGGGCCCACGCTGCTGGGGACTGGGCCGAGCGACGGCTTTCCGGGTGCTGGCGGCGTGTGCAGCCCACCAGGCCGTGGGAGCAGCCCGGGGCGGGCTGGGCGTCCCGGGAGCCCGGCGTGAGTGCAGGAGCGATGAAGTCGCCGGGGAGCCGACGCCAGGTCCCGGAATGAGTGGTGCTCACACGGCAGTGTCCGCTGGCCCCGAGGTCTCGCCAAGGAGACGGTAAAGGAATAGAGCCTGCAGCAAGCGCAGCAGGGGTAGGTACACGTGCTGAAGACGCCAGTGCAGACGTGACTGCGGGAAGCGAGCCCACGGCACGCACGCACCATCAGCGCGTCACTCAGGCTGCCGTAACGTCTTTTGTGGGCCACGCGGGCCCACGGGACCCCGGCGCGTGTCAGCCATTGCGGGGTGGGGCGTGCTCAGCCTTCCCGGCCGCCAGCATCAGCGACGACACCTGGGGTGGCCCCCGGCACGGTGAGTGCAAGCGGGCGCAGCAGGGCCCAGAGATTGGGCATGTGAGGGCGGCGGCAGGGGTGGGAGGCAGCAGCGACCAGCAGAGGGGCCGGGGGCACGCCAGAGAGCCCAGAGAGGACGAGGACCGCCGGGCTGTGCCGGCCCCGCCTGCCCTGTGCCTGGCCGCCTCTCTACGGAAGGTGGGGGGATCACCAAAAGCCTGAGGCGGCCACCAAGGCACCAGGCCGCCTCTACCCGTCTGCCCAGTCATGGAGCACCCACCCCGGCCCGCTGGTGCCGCAGCCGCTCACGCTGCTCTGGGCGCCCCGGGAGCCCTCCTGGCCGGCAGCCGCACATGGGCTGACT